AGTTTGAGGCCCTTTACTCACTAAGTGGAAGTTTTTATATGAGGTGATCTCAAGCAGTTATTAAAAGCACAGGCCAATAGCTGGAGCAGACAGCTTGTAATCACTGTTGCCTACTTCTCCCATTCACCAACTTTCTTATATCTTATAGCTTCACACATAAGTCCCTGTCACTATAATATAGCTCAAGTGGAAAAATAAATGCCTCCAGTGTGCAGAACTTCTGGAAATATACCAAGATGTACCCTCTGCTTGGAAATCTAGGTGGTCTGAGGTAGGGAGATACATAGACACTTGAACAATGGCTAGCATATGGCTTAAGAGGCAGAGATATGAAAAGAACAGTTTATGAGGAAATTACTAGTAAAGACGTTAGGGGGAGAGCTATACAACATAATATTGCATGCTTGCTCAGTTGTGTCCGACTTTTTGCGACTCCATAGACTGTAGTGCTCTAGGCTCCTGTCCAGACAAGAATTCTGGAATGGATTGCCATTTCCTACTCCAGGGCATCTTCCCAACACAGGGACTGAACTCACATCTCCCATGTCTCCTTCATTGGCAGGACAATTCTTTGCCACTGGCCACCCGGGAAGCCCAATCAACTTAATATTACTTAAACATAAAAGAGAATGAAATTTTGCATTTCTGACATTATGGATGAACCTAGAGGGTACTAGGCTAAGTGAAATGAGTCAGACAGAGAAAGACAAATACTGGATGATTTCACTTATATGTGGAATATAAAATTAAAACAAATGAACAAATATAACTAAATAAATAAAATCATAGATACAAGGAACAAACAGGTAGTTGACAGAGAAGAACGGGGTGGGAGGAAAGAGAAAAATAGGTAACAGAGATTGAGGGGCAAACTTTCCATAACAGAATAAATGAGTCATAGGTATGAAATTTACAATGTGGGGAATATGGTCAATAATTATTTCATATCTTTACATGATAACAGATGATGACCAGACTTATACACTTTGAAATATATTGAAATATAGAATCACTATATTGTTTGTGTACCAGGAACTAACATAGTGTTGTAAGACAAATATATTTCACAAACAAACACACAAGTTAACAAACAAACTGATCAAAAAGAGATCAGATTTGTGGTTACCAGAGGTGGGTTTGTGAGGGGGGGAATTGGATAAGGTGGTTATAAGACACAAGTTTCTGATTATACATGATTAACACCACTGAAAGTTACACAGGAAAGTTGGCAGGAGAGCAAGTCCCAAGAGTTCTCACCACAAGGGAAAAATATTTATTTTGTGTTTTTTAAATTTTGTGTCTAAATGAGATGATGGATATTCACTATATTTATTGTGATAATCATTTAAGGATGTATATAAGCCAAAGCATTATGTTTCACAACTTATATAGTGCTATATGTTAACTATGATCTTAACAAAACTGGAAAGCAAAGAAAAAAAAAAAAATGATTCTTGAGCCAAACAGCCTGGATTCAAATCCCAGTTCCACCTCTTAATTATTTTGTAATCTTTGTCAAATTTCGTGTGCCTCAATGTTTCTATCTCTAAAATGGGAATAAGAATTATACCAACATAGGAGAGTGAAAAAGTTGGCTTAAAGCTCAACATTCAGAAAACTAAGATTATGTCATCCGGTTTCATCACTTCATGGGAAATAGATGGGGAAACAGTGAAAACAGTGGCTGACTTTATTTTTCTGGGCTCCAAAATCACTGCAGATGGTGACTGCAGCCATGAAATTAAAAGATGCTTACTCCTTGGAAGGAAAGTTATGACTAACCTAGACAGCATATTGAAAAGCAGAGACATTACTTTGCCAACAAAGGTCCATCTAGTCAAGGCTATAATTTTTCCAGGGATCAAGTATGGATGTGAGAGTTGGACTATAAAGAAAGCTGAGCACAGAAGAATTGATGCTTTTGAACTGTGGTGTTGGAGAAGACTCTTGAGAGTCCCTTGGACTGCAAGGAGATCCAACAAGTCCATCCTAAAGCAGATCAGTCCTGGGTGTTTATCGGAAGGACTGATGTTGAAGCTGAAACTCCAATACTTTGGCCACCTCATGCGAAGAGCTGACTCATTTGAAAAGACCCTGATGCTGGGAAAGATTGAAGGCAGGAGGAGAAGAGGAAGACAGAGGATGAGACAGTTGAATGGCATGACCGACTCAATGGGCATGGGTTTGGGTGGACTCTGAGAGTTGGTGATGGACAGGGAGGCTTGGCACACTGTGGTTCATGGGGTTGCGAAGAGTCGGACAAGACTGTGTGGCTGAACTGAACTGAATGGGAGTGTTAATAAGATTAAATATTAAAATACCTGTAACCTTCTCAAGAAATTTCTAGTTTATAATAAGCAATCTTATTATCTATTTACATTAATAATTCATTTAAATAAATGCATTAAAGTGTCTCTAAGAGAGGAAAAGAATATAAAATTTTATCTGATGTGCTGAACAGTCAACTATTCCTGCTAAAACATTTTTACTAGCATAATTTTAATCCCTTAATTTAACTAAGAAAAGAAGATAGGCTTTGACTCTCACTTCGCTGTAAGCAGAGCTTTCTCAACAGTAGCTAGGGTTAACTCTCTTACTCTTTCTAACGCCAATAAAAAAGACAAACAGAAAAATCCCATCTGTCCATGTGACAAGTCCAAAATCAGACACCTGCATGGCAAATATGCGTAGCAATGAGTATCACAGATGCTCTATATTTAGTGCAAACCATATGCTCAATGATTTACTTAAATTGAATTGGGAGGATGAGCCACTATAGAAAAAGTCCACAGAGCAATTAAGGAACAACATGTTTTGCTGCTCTCATCTCATCTTTCCTCCTTTAGTCCCAGATGTTATGAGCACTAGAGACATTAGTCAGTTTGTTAATTTATTGTCAGATTGTTAAGGGTTTATGAAGATTTTGACCCATTTTGCTACATTCGTTTTGGCAGCAAGATTAATTTAATTATAACTGTCTTGGGGACAAAGGAACACAGTAGGATATCATTTGTTATATTTGAACGGTAGTGCTTTCACCAGACACTCCAGCATTTGTGCATTCCCAATCTTCAAGTGTGTGATTTGTCTAGAGAACAGAAGAAATAAAGAAAGCTGGCAGCTATGTATATTCTCTAAATGACATTACTTGATTTCTCAACCCTTATAGCTCTAAAGGAGAGTCCATAAACTCCCTAGACTTCCAATAGCTCTAGGATTTTATTCAAAGCCTTTTAATATGTATTTTATTCCTATATTTTAAAAGTTATCACAATATTTACAGAAGTTTAAAATAATTGATAATATTTTAGCCTAGGTCATTACTAGAATTCTTCAAACAAAATGTGATTAACTTTTTCAAACTGATTCAAAGGAAAAGTCATGGTGTGGGTTTTGCCGTAATTTAGTCCACTGCACAACAAATGTTAATCCAATGATGTTGTTTAGATATGGACTCCCTGAGTTGAGGTTTCCTCATCTAATAACAGGGTTACTCAACAATGTTCACATTAGTGAACAGTTCTTGTACAGACTAAACAGAATAATATGTATATAAGTGTTTTCAATATGTTTATGGGCAATACTATCTTGAGATTAGTATTTTTTCTATTTCTTCATGTCATTTCTCCAGATAGATCTAATTTCTACAAGGATTGTATTAGTCTATGGATACTAATATGGTACTAATACAGATACTTCTAATACAGAGACGTGGTAAGTTCTTATTAAGTACACCTTGAATTAAAGTGAGTTCTACTTACTTAAGTATGCTATGTAGATAAAAGTTGCCAGGTACAAAATACAAAACTCAAAGAAAACAATGATCAAATAATTCAAATAAAAATAATCAAAGAATTTGGAGGAAAATATATTTAAATATGCTTAAGCCAGTGATTCTCAAAATATCTTCTCCAGAGCAGCAGCAGCAGAATCACCTGGGAACTTGTTAGAAATCCTGCAAATCCTCAACTCCAGCTCTGACCTAGTGATTCAGAAACTCCAGGGGTAGAGGAAAACAATCTGTTTTAACAAGCCCTCCAGTTGATTCTATTGTTTGCTGAAGTGTGAGATGTATAATAATGATATGTAGAAATTACTTGTTTCTGTTATTGTATAGAATCTCCTCCAGGAGTTTGGGGGCCACTGTCATTCCATAACAACAACTTAATCATGATACTTTAGTGAAGGAATTACACTAAAATCCATTTGGGAAAAAACCCATGAGAGAATGTTAATCCTGTAGTGTAAGGAGCACCGAAAACTTTCTGCCATGATAGAAATACTCTGTATCTTTGCTATCCAACTGAAATGTGCCTAATGTGACTAAGAAACTGAACTTTTTAATGTCATTCCATTTTAATAATTTCAATCTAAATAGCTGCATATGGCTAGTGGCTACCATATTGACACAAATCTAGGGCATTTTTCTCTAATGGAGGTTGTTAGAAACTGTACAAAGATCTTCAACATTAAAAAAATGGGGTTTTAAGAATGGCATAAAGTATGAGAGAGGCCAAACTCTAGAGAAATCATCATTTGAGTTGGGCCCTGGAGAATAAGACAGGTCTTCAAAAGACAGAAATGGGAGAGATATTAGACAGAGGCTCTGACATACTAGAAAAATGCAGTGTAACACAAGTTCCAGAAATTGCCCAAATTGATTTGTGTACAAAACGTATGTTGTGAAATTATGGAAAATAAAGATGGAAAATTTACTGCATCCAGGATATGAAAGGCTAAAAAGTTTGAGTTTTGTTTTATATTCTTTAAAAAATCATAACTATTTCAGGTAAAGTAATGACGGAATTGGAAAGATGGTTAATTGCACATGATGCACCAAATAGAGGAATAAAATAAGAAACAAGGCAAGGCAATGTAATTTGAGGATATATGAGTTCTCACTTAGTCATGTTTTCATTTAATTGATTATCGGAATACCTATTATAAGCCCAGCATTTGTTTACATACTAATTATCAATGTTTATAAAAGCGTTGCCTACCTCAGCCAATTTCCAGAACTCTCATTTGATTCTCTAAGTTTGAATCTCCAAGTGTGGGGTCCAGGAATCTACAAAATAATCAGCAAATTTATTCATGATTGTTTAGAGCACCTTTTGGAACTAATGGATATGTGAATAAATAGTAAAAATTTGACTTAGATGGATCAAGTATACAGTTAAGTAAATATAAATACTTAGTGATTTGGCTGCAGTATTTGCCAACTGATGACTTGGTTGTAGCAGAAGATATTAAGAAGGGGTGTCAAGAATACACAGAAGAACTATACAAAAAAGATCTTCACGAGCCAGAAAATCATGATGGTGTGGTCACTCACCAAGAGCCAGACATCCTGGAATGTGACATCAAGTGGGCCTTGGAAGCATCACTACAACAAAGCTAGTGGAGGTGATGGAATTCCAGTTGAGCTATCAAATCCTAAACGATGATGCTGTGAAAGTGCTGTACTCAATACTTCAGCAAATTTGGAAAACTCAGCAGTGGCCACAGCACACAGAAAGGTCAGTTTTCATTCCAATCCCAAAGAAATGCAATACCAAAGAATGCTCAAACTACCACGCATTTGCACTCATCTCACACGCTAGCAAAGTAATGTTCAAAATTTGCCAAGCCAGGCTTCAACAATATGTGAACTGTGAACTTCCAGATGTTCAAGCTGGATTTAGAAAAGGCAGAGGAACCAGAGATCAAATTGCCAACATCCACTGGATCATTGAAAAAGCAAGTGAGTTCCAAAAAAAATCTACTTCTGCTTTATTGACTATGCCAAAGCCTTTGACTTGTGTGGATCACAAAAAACTGGAAAATTCTTAAAGAGATGGGAATACCAGACCACCTCACTTGCCTCTTGAGAAATCTATATGCAGGTCAAGAAGCAATAGTTAGAACTGGACATGGAACAGATAGGATCCAAATTGGGAAAGGAGTATGTCAAGGCTGTAATATGTCACCCTGCTTATTTAACTTATATTCAGAGTACATCATTAGAAATGCTGGGCTGGATGAAGCACAAGCTGGAATCAAGTTTGATGGGAGAAATATCAATAACCTCAAATATGCAGATGACAGAAAGCAAAGAACTTAAAGGTCCTCTTGATGAAAAAGGAGAGTGAAAAACCTGGCTTAAAACTCAACATTCAGAAAACTAAGATCATGGCATCTGATCCCATCACTTCATGGCAAATATATGGGAAAGCGATGGAAACAGTGAAAGACTTTATTTTTGGGAGCTCCAAAATCACTGAAGATGGTGACTACAGCCAAATTAAAAGACACTTGTTCCTTGGAAGAAAAGTTATGAGCAACCTAGAGAACATATTAAAAAGCAGAGATATTACTTTGCCAACAAGGTCCATCTAGTCAAAGCTATGGTTTTACCAGTAGTAATGTATTGATGTGAGAGTTGGACCATAAAGAAAACTGAGCACCGAAGAATTGATGCTTTTGAACTGCGCTGTTAGAGAAGACTCTTGAGAGTCCATTGGACTGAAGGGAGATCCAACCAGTCCATCCTAAAGCAGATCAGTCCTGGGTGTTCATTGGAAGGACTGATAGTGAAGCTGAAACTCCAATACTTTGGCCCTTGATGCGAAGAACTGACTCATTTGAAAATACCCTGATGCTGGGAAAGATTGAAGGCAGGAGGAGAAGGGGATGACAGAGGATGAGATGGTTGGATGGCATCACTGATTCAGGGACATGAGTTTGTATACTCTTTGAGTTGGTGATGGACAGCCTGGCGTGCTGCAGTCCATGGGGTCACAGAGAGTCAGACTCAACTGAGCAACCGAACTGAACTGACCTGGATTGATGTAACTTACATTGATTTTTACTTTCTGTTCCTCTGCCATACCATTTTCATAAGATTAATGAGTTCTAAGAACCAGCTGTGTGAGCTTTTAAACCCATGGGGTCATACAAAGTGACATGTCAGATTAAGTCAGCAATCTGCAGTTTAGCCTAACATCAATTTCACGCAAAGTAATCAGATACTTTAGGAAAGGCAATTTCATGTTAAACTGTTTAAATGCTTGTGTCACTGTAGTACATTACTATTTGGTCAGATATATCCCAAATGTGTCTTTCCAGTAAGTTCACTTTCCTCATTTTGCAGCATTAGAAGTTATTGTCCTATATGCCTCTTGTAGTCGGGATCATCCTTCTTATTACGAGAGGACACTAGGTGGAATACCTTTCTATATTCATTGAGAGAAGAGGCCTAAAATGGCAAATGAATGCATGTCCAGGCTTTTCTGATTGTATTGTTAGTTAAGAACATGTAATAAAAAGAAACATTTCCTTGTGTTCCTTATAGAAAGGTATTTCTTGCATAACTTGCACCCTATTAGCTAGTAAAGGATTTCTAACAAAGAGAAATATTTTCTTGTATTTATATCCCTAGCAGCCTATTTAGACTCTAATTATTAGGAGTATGCAGTTCAACTCAGTAAGGAAAAAGGAATGGGGAAAAAATTTCCAAATAGATGCTGATGGAGACAAGGTCCATTGTCCTATAGGCCTTCATTTTGACTGCAGTTATAGACCAGATATCAAAATCACAATGCTGTTGCACTAAGCCTGGAAGTGGCAGTGGCTATGATGGCATGTTAGCGACAGCAGTAATCAAAATGAAAGGGGCCCCTTCTTGCTTCTCAGCCACACAGCAATGACTTGGGCTGTCCACTGCCTTCACTGAGAAGGTAAGTGATTGAATTGTGAAACATGGACATTTTCCCGAATTCATTTTACCAGCGATGAATTCTATTTCCTGCATGTTAAAGGAACTTCTGCTCATATACTTCTTTTGATATAGGAAATGAAAGTAATGGACATACTTTATAAAAACGAATATACATTCCCACTTGCTTTACAAAATGCTGCTTCTCCTACCTACTGTAATTGATGAAGAGTAAAATATCAGCCTTCACTGGGAACCTCTAAGCACTGTAAATTTTTCTGGTCCCACGGTGTGTGAAAGATATTTCTCCCTATAATTTAATTTTATTCACTAACTGTTTGCATATTGCTTATACATCATGAAGACTGGAAAATTGGGAATCTGCAGCCAGAAAATAATATAACAAACATTTACATTCATTCTGTTAAATATTTATAAAACTTTAAAAACTGCTAGAAGCTTCTTCCATTTTTAATTACAATCATGAAAATGAAAACTGTTCGGTTTTTCTCTGAAGAGCTACTTTATTATATACTGAGATAGTTTATTTTTTTAATAATGCTAGTCAATTGTTATCATTTCTTAATACAACCCTAACAGTTACTCTGTGCAATTTTATAGCTCAACTATAATGTTCAGTGCAAAGTAATTCACACTATAATAACAATGGAATTTTACAAAAAGGTTCACATAAACCTAGTAAATAGTAAAACAGCAAGTTGACTATGTTCTAATGGACTTTTAAATGTGAGTTAACAGTGTTCTTTCCTAAGGTTTTTTTCTTTATGGTTGAAATTGCTTAACCCCATGGAATAGAAAAATGCTCTCCTTCCTCCCTCTTTCCAGTGCAGTATGCTTTACATACAGTCATTTTACAATAGAAATGTTTGCACATTCAGCCAGCTTCCCATCCACTCACTTCTTAAAAGTTGGGGCAAACTTTATGTCTTAAAATGAAGCTGATGTTGCATAGTAACAGTGACCTGTCCATTTTAAGCTGTATGGTCATGACTGTTTCATAAGAGCAATAGGATAAACTCAGTTTTGACTGTAAATAAAATATAATAAGCAAATTGAACATATGAAATGAGTCAAGGACATCTAATCTTGTTGTACAGCGATCAGGCATACCTCACTAAAAATAAATTTTAATTATCATAACTGAAACTGCATTTAAAAATAAAGTTATATATATATATGTTATATCTATATATATATGTATATATATATATAGTTCCCTTCAATACATGATTAGCAATGAAATATGCAAAATTAAATTTAGAAACCACAAAATCTTGGGTCAATTTAGCATGGGTAGCTCTTTTCTAGGTCTCTTCTTCTGAGATCCCCAACACTCCCCAACCAAAATCATTCAGTATGTTTTCTGTCTTCATGTAACTCACTTCTAAGTTCCTAAAATCTGGTGTATGCAAGTTCTGGGGGCTAAATCCAATAGGAATTCTGTACCTCAAGCCTGTCCAATACTGACGAAACAATCTTGAGAGTGCAGCAATAAGTTATGGTACCTCTGGTAAACCTTAGGTAAGAATTCAAGACTGGCTACCAGGCCATTTTGTATCAGCAAAGGATGATAATGTTGGAGCTCAGGCCTTACACTTTCTTAAGCAAGGCAGGAAAATGATCTGTGGTTTCTGGAAAGATGAAAAAAAATCAGACAAGTGTCATAAAATAACAAAAGGACAGGAGTAATAGTTTAAAGGCTGATATATGAATAAAAGCAGAAAATGTAGTGAGCACTCAGAGGAGAAAATCTTGGTTTGAAGTTCTCAGGGAAAAGTGATAAAACAGGCTTGAGGCAAACATGGAATTTAAATACACTGGAGGAATTATAGTCTCTTCCTGGACATATCTCTTTGCTAGATACTCTATAAAAGTTTACTCATGCTTCCAGCTTTTATGTGTCAATGGCTAATCACTGCACATATTTATAAAATATCTAGGAGTAACTATGTAATGAACAGTGCTATTAGTAGTTAGAATTATAAAGCAAACACTTTTGATCCCTTAAGAAAACTGAAATTATTTTTTAAAGAAATATATATGAATTAAAAGACCCAACTATCCATTAAAGATAAATTTCTTCTAAGGAATCACTAAGCTACTTAGTGAAACAAACGGGGACTTGGGAACATAGAAATGCTACACATGTGCTTTAGAAATTTAGATTCTTATCCATCACCAATTTGTTTCTCTAGGAAAAAAGCCACATGAATTAACCAGTCATACTTATCTGGTGTGGCTCTGTTGCCACTTCCATCTGAATATAGTTCAGAGATAACTTCTTAAAAAAAAAAAACCAAACACAGAGAAATAGAATCTGTCCTTTCTTTTTCAATACATATATGGATCCT